ATATATATATATATATATATATGTGGGTTATTATACAATCTTTTACATTTGTACAACTAATACAACTCAATCTCAACCGTTCATTTAATTTGATGAATATATGATTTAGTAAAATTTTGATTGTTTCATAATATAAAGTATTGATCATAATTAATGAACTCTAGTTATATTACATAAATATTTAAATCATAATAAATGAACTCTCATCATTTTCAAAAATATCTCAATTGACTAGGTTGCATTGGTTGTACAAATGAACATGATTGCATTTGAAATACAATATATATATATATATATAGTGTGTGTGTGTGTGTGTTTAGAATCAGAATAAGAATGTGGTGAGCCCCTACAATGGTGGGTGTCACTATGCCATTGCCATTGTCTTCCATATATCCCACTAAACTTGGTTTTCCTTTATCACCATCTCTATAACATCTTTTTTTCTTCACCACTCATCATTTTTTAGATTTAATATTGTGGTATTACTATAATTCAATACTTATTATGGGTCCTATTTTTTTTAATACGGATCTGTAACGATCATAAAAGCATTATATATATATATATATATATATATATATAATAGGTAGGAACATTTCTTTTGAGAACCCATAAAATTATGATAATATTAAGAACTTGTATATCATGTGATATTTCATATGATTTTTTCCATCTATGACTAAAAGTTACAATACCGATTAATATATACTTGTTTCACATTGTGTTTATTTCACAATGTGAATCTTTTTAGTTTGTTTGTTAAATAAAAGTTATACATAAAAAAGTTTCACATCGTGAACCACATACATATGAAACAAATATATATTCATCAAATTAAATGTTAAGCTTAGAAGAATAAAAAATAATGTAAAGCAATACCTTCAGATAATAGTTCCCATGGTTTTCAAAGTATATGGAGTTCTCAAATGATTAAGCACCAATATATAGGATTGTGTTTTGCTAAGAATGAAAGTTTTGGTGAGAAAGATAAGAAGAGATATTCACCCTTGAATCAATCATAATTAAATATCAACAGTAATGAGATGCACCGATATGCATAGAATCAATTTTCGTATCAAATGTAATTTATAGGGTGAGAATGAAATTAAAAGTGATCAAAGGTCCAAATCCCTTTTATATTTCTCACATTAACTCTTATTCTCACACGATTCTTTGACCATTCTTACCATAACTTTCATTCTAACCGGAACTCAATCATATATATATATATATATATATAGAGAGAGAGAGAGAGAGAGAGGAAGGACCATATGAGAGAGAGAGAGAGAGTTAAAATGAAAAGCGTAAGAAGAGATCTCCACTCTTGATCATTTTTAATCTCATGTTCATCCATGGATTGTACTTCTCACGAGAATTGATCTGATGCATCTCATTAGTGTTGATCTTCAATTAAGATAAATCTAAAGGTAGTCTTCTCAACGAATAATTTATAAATAGAATAAAATTAATAAAGCACAAATATAGAGAAAACGACAAATTCATATGAATGGTTACAAAATGATGAATCTGCCTATACTTGCAATATAATTTGTTTATTAAGTTATCAACTCCACCATAATTGCATACCTTTTTTTTCGTACATTTTAAATCTTCATTTACTTACAAAATTAAATACTCTCTTCATTTATTAAATACTCATAAATTGCTTTGATTTCTTGATCACTTAAAACTTCAATTCACACTATTCAAATTCCTAACAAATATCTAAACATAGACAACGTGTGATTTAGGAATACTTGTAAGTCTATCAGTTTGTTTTTAAGTTACAGTTTTAGAATAACTGAGAACAGTAAAATATTAAATAAATATTTATCTTTTTATAGGAATATCGAAAGGCATGCAAGGGTACAACGAGAAAAAAACTGCAAATCACATGATGAACATATCGAGCCGACGATCATGGACGTGATCATTGGTGGTTTACTAATTGAACCGCTAGTTTTACAAGATTGAGGACTGTAGTCGTCGTCCAACTTGCAAAAGGGCAACACAACCGTCAAACAACAAGGAAGGGCAAAATCGTAGTCGATAAAAAAAGGGGTATCAAAGTCCACGTAAGAAGTCTTCGATTTATCACAACATTATCATAATAAAATCACCTTATTATCACAATATTATTACGTCAACATCACGTAATGAAAAGTCGTTGATTTATCCCGACATTATCACCTCATTATCACAATTTTACAATATCGCATGATCATTATCGGTGAGGCAAGAAGTCTTTGGTTTTAAACTCAAAAGTCCCATCAAACTTGAAATACTGATGGGATTAACATCAACCATGTGGTTATTGATACTGATATTATTTAAAGAGATTAAGACAAAACATTAAGATAACATAAAATTGTTGATAAAAACATATTATATTAGTATACATAAGATTAATTTTCATTTATTTTAATATCACTTATATGTTAAATAATTTAAAGACCCATAAATATTTTACATTTTCATTAAAAAAAAGTGTTATCGTTTAAACCCGTCTCTAAAGATCAAAAGTACGAGAAGGTCTTAGGTTCAAATCCAAGGAGGAATAAAATCCCCTTGTGGCCACGAAGGTTCAAATGCAGTGACTCCGGCATATCTGCAAAGCAGGTGGTCTCCCTGAAATTGGTCGGCTTGCATAATGAGTTGGATATTTAGGTTAATAAAAAAATAATAATTGAAAACATTATGACTAAAAAATACATCATATTTTTAGGCCAAAAAAGTAGAAATGGTTGATGAATATTGAAAGATGGTTTTGTTTTTATTAAGAAAAGAAAATCATAATTAGTAGTTGATAACAATGTTTTGCTTTCATATTTAATTCAACACCATGACAATGACTTTTTTATTTTATTTTGTTAATTTTTAATAAATAAATAAATTAATACTATTTCTAAGATTGTCATAATCGAACATCATTATTGGCAACTAGTAGCCACTTGCACTTGATAATTTTTTACTACCATCTAATACATATATCTAATTATTAGTTTAACATCTTAACTACCTCTTTACAGATAAATATTAATTTGAAGCATATGGTTGGGTTCCAATGAGAAGAAAAGTTATAGTGAGAAACATAAGAAGATATCTGTACCTTTTGATCAATCATGATTGAATGCCAAGACTAACTTAATGCACTAGATCGATTCCCTTCTAAAGTGCAGTTTAGAGTTGAACATGAGATTTATATCTTTTTTATGGTTTTCACCATAACTTCTCTTCTCACACGATCCTTCGTCTTGAAGTATAAACATAATGTATAATAGTTTTAGGGGTTTTGTTTGTTTACCATTTAAGCATGATAAAGACTGAGAATCTTACATAGTAAGATGCATAACTAGAGGCGAACCTAGAAATATTTCAAGTGGTGATATCATTTGACTATAAGAAATAAATATATGAATATTTTTCACATAAAATCATCATTGATTTGTTGGTTAATTTTTTACTTTCCATATATGAGGTCTTGTGTTTAATTCTTTTATTACAATTTTTCAAAAAATGTACTAAATCTAAAATTAAAATTTAAAAACTAAGAAAATGACAGACGAGATTCAAACTCATGCTTGGGGTAGGAGAAAGACCATGCAAACCAACTTTACCAAGAAAAACTTGTGCTATCATTGTAGTTTTCACTATATATATATATATATATATATATATATATATATATAGTTGCAAATAACAAATGATACGGCGACACCTTTCAAAACCCTACAATTTTTAACATTACGAACGAAACAAGAAGCAATGACACATGTGATCGTAATAAAGTGGGTCCACCCCTGGACATAAGAATGATCAAGAATATTACCCAGCAAGTGAGAGAGAAGACTCTTACTATACCTGGTGAGCAATTACCAAAAAAGACGGTTTTTATTGCCAAAAAATGTTACTCGATTTTGGCGGACAATGCCCACCCCGGTAATAAGAGAGGAGTGATGCATCAGTTTCGAGTGTCTTTTCCTTAAGCATTTATAAGGTAAGTTTATAGTGATATTTTTGTCGGTAAACGTTTATTTGATATACGTTTGGCAAAAGAACTAATATAGAAAATAAAATAGATTGCATTAAAACGAAAAAAAAAAATCCAATTTCAAAAGCTGTATCACAAAAAATTATAGTCTATTTAATTGCACATCTTACAACTTTAATATCATAATCTTAGGGGCCGTTTATCTAAACACTTATCCGGTAAGCACTTACCGGTAAAATTCAACATTATCGCTTACTTACCGGGTAAAATTTTATTAACTAAAACGTATCGTATTCAACAATTTATCTCGCTAAGTACTAACCATGGTAAGAGTTCTCGTTCTCATTTACCGATTCTCGACTTTGCTTTCGCTCTTACCGGGTAAGATTATTAGCCCTTGTCGTATTCATCCGGTAAAATAAAGTGACTTGGTAAGTGCTTACCCAGATAAGCGTCTAGTAAACAGCATCTTAGTAATCATAAGGTTGTTTCTTAATATACTGTTAAGTATATATATATTTGTATTTTAGTTTATTTTAATAAAATATGTTATTAGAAGATGATGATAGATGTGGAAAAAAAAGGATTAAGCATTGAAAATGGGGAGACAAGATACAAGTAAGAACGGAAAGCGGAGACAAGAGTGTCACCTTGTCTATACGGGATTTCAATTCATATATATATAAGGATACACCAAGATTTCCATTTTTAGGGTTTCAATCCTCTCTTCTTTTTACTCATTGTTTCTCTATCTCTCTTTTTACACATACACACATACATACATACATCAAATGTATATATAATCGTATACACCTTTCTGTTGTGCCTGTTTTCATCTTCATTTTCTGGTTTTCACAGACAGAAAGAGAGAGAGATGAGGAGAGGTAGGTGTTATCTGGATATTAGCATAGGAGGAGAGCTTGAGGGCAGGATGGTGGTGGAACTGTTCACTGATATTGTTCCCAAAACAGCCGAGAATTTCAGAGCACTCTGTACCGGAGAGAAAGGTGTTGGCCCTATCACCGGTGTCCTGCTTCACTATAAGGTCTATCATCGAAACATTATGATCCAATACTCTATGTGTCCACTGTTCATTTTCTTCTTATTTATTTCTTTTTTCTTATGCTGCTTGGTTGCATGAATTTTTGTAGTTTTGGATTAACTGGTGGTGATTTGGAATTCGATAGATTGTGTAGCAACTGTTGTTGGATGCTGAACTAGACCTGGTTCATTCGATATGGTTTGTTATTGGTTATCGAGTATAAATCGGCAATTTGGCAAACGCTACTGTTTAACTGATAAACGTTGTTGTCATGAACGCAATCACAAGTGCTACTTATGTAGTATCCTAATAACATTAATATCATGCAAACAAAGTATATAACCCTATGACATTTCTGCAACACGAAGACCTTAAATGCCTTCATTCATCCTTATAAGAATATAGGGTATAGGGGGTAATTATTTACCGCCAGCAGGTTGTAATCGTCTGCCCTGCACCCACCCCCGAGTGTATGCTTCAACAGGAATCAACCATGAATCCTTAGTTAGAATTAGAAAGGGATTCCAACTGAAGAATGGAAACGATCTTCAAGCGTCTCAGAAAGAATTATCTTACCTTTCTCTTCTGTCGGTCTTATTTACTTTTTTGATTTTTCATTCACTTTTCATTGAAAGTTGTTGTAATACTCTCTCCAACGACTTCAGGGAGTTCGTTTCCACCGACTCATTAAAAGCTTTATGATTGAAGGTGGGGACATTTCTGCTGGAGATGGTACTGGTGGGGAATCTATCTATGGTCTAAAGTTTGAAGATGAGAATTTTGAAATGAAACATGAAAGAAAGGGAATTTTATCAATGTCTAATTCTGGCCCCAACACCAATGGATCCCAGTTTCGTATCACCACGACCCGCACTCCCCATTTAGATGGAAAACATGTTGTATTTGGAAAGATAGTTAAAGGCGTGGGAATTCTCAAATCAATTGAGCATGTTGCTACTGGTGATAATGATTGCCCCAATCTGGATGTTATGATTGCGGATTGTGGAGAAATTAAAGAGGGGGAAGATGATGGAGTTGGGAACTTTTTCAAGGATGGTGATGTGTATCCTGATTGGCCAGCGGACCTTGACAATGGTCCTAGTGAACTCTCTTGGTGGTTGGATGCTGTAGATTCAATCCGGGCTTGTGGGAATGAGGCTTTCAAGGTAATTGTTATAAACCTACTTCACTTGTTTTGTTCGATACAGAGAATTCTTCCTCTTGAGGCTCAAATGCATGGGCATGCTATGTAATTACTGTTATGCGCAGAAGCAAGACCATAAAATGGCTCTCAGAAAGTATAAGAAAGCCGTGCGCTATTTGGATGTCTGCTGGGAGAAAGAAGGAATTGATGATGGTCGACCAACATTTCTTTACCCATATCCTTTTGTTTTTGAATATGTAGATTTTGCAGTACATCCTCCATGATTCAGTGCCATTTGAACTGATTCTCCCCTGTTCCCTTGGTTAAAAATACTGCAGATCGAAGTATTTCTCTGGGAAAGAAGAAGGCACAGATATTCACAAACAGTGCTGTAAGTCGCCCTCGCTGATCTCTTCCTCTCTTTGAATACCTCTAAGAAATATAAGTTACATGTATCTGTTGATATCTGTTCCTCGATGGTTTTTTCTTATTTTCTCCCTTCCCATGTACTTGGCTATTATTGCATGTCGTAGTTTCTATTTATTTGATTTTTTATCATTGACTTGTTACTTAGAAATAGCCCTTTGAGTAAAATAGAAGTTCATCCTCTAAATAGATAATGAAAATATGAACCATGTAAACAAATAAATGCAATTCAATTGAGAGAATGTTATGCGAAAGTGTACACTCCAAGATTACGGGGATTTCTGTAACATTAATGCTCCATGAATTGACAAGTTTAGTTGCATGATATATGAAACTCTCTCATACCTATAGGTTTTTATAAATATATGCATACAAAGATATACCTCACAAGGAAGGTTATGTAGAAAAGGGGTAATAAAGATATGAAGATGGTAAAAAGAGAAGTAACCTGGAGATCACAATATAGGCTGAAGATAGCAATAGAAAGTCAAAAAGCATGGAGGAAGACATTTCAGTTTCAGAGTCAGAGAAAGAATGATATATGGAGAAACAGATAAATTTTTTGTGAGGAGGTGGTTTCTTAAGTTAAGGAACAATACTGTCAGAAGGATCAAATTTTGTTACTTCATTGAAGATATGTTGAGTTGGAATATGAGAATGAAGCACCAGCAAATCAGTAAAAGAGAAGGTAATGACATATCAGGAGACATGGTGTTCTAGTAGTAGATGATTCATAAAGCTGCGTAGAATAACCAAGTAGAATTTATGGCAGTTCAGGAAACAAATTGCAGGAGATCCAGAGGTATGTCTCATGTATAATATGGGGAAGTGATAAAGTAGATTGGATTATAGTGATTGCATAAGACAAAGATCTTGGTGCAGTATGATATTAAATAATTTGATGTTATAAGAGAATAGTGGTAACAAACTGAAAGGAAACATTTACCACTAAATCCTTTCTGGTGCAAAATTCTTAACGGCCTTCATGGCTTCATGCTTTCGTATAGAATACTGATATCATATAATACGCATCTTGCCATAATTACTATTGCCAGCATGTTCTATCTTTAGAGTATCCCATTGTTATCAGTTGAATAATCTTGCTTATTCACGCCCAGCAATACAAGTTTTAACTGTATTCACTGATGTTCACTCTCAATTAACAATCAACTATCCCTTCTCTCTCTCTCTCTCTCAGGCTTGTAAACTGAAACTAGGGGATGCAAAGGGAGCCCTGTTTGACACAGAATTTGCACTGCGTGATGGTGAAAACAACGCAAAGGCTTGGTTTCGCCAAGGTCAGGTTGGTGATGTCAATCAACTAGATTAAACACTAGAGAACAAAATATTACACATTTCACTTCATCAGCCATCTTTCTTTTTCTCGTTAACTTATGTGAGATTTTGCATGGTTAGCCATATGTTTGTTCCCACCAGTATTTATCTTTCCGTTGGAACTGAGCACCAATTTGTTTCTCATTTGTGATTGTATGATCAAAACTTCTAATTCAGAATCTTCTGTTTGCTTATATTTTATTTCCTGTTGGTTGCTGATAGGCGTTGCTTTTCAAAATGGTCTACACAGTCCCTTAATACTGCAGTGATTGTTGTAAAAATTTTAATTGTGTTCATTCAGGCACATATGGCGCTCACGGAGGTAGATGCTGCAATAGAGAGTTTCAAGAAGGCAAAAGAGTTGGTGCCGAATGATGGTTAGACACTCTTAACTTCTGTTTATTAAGCAAAATCTAATATTTGTATGTTCTATTTCGAGGAAATTAACATCAGGAAATCAATTTTGGGAAACCTCTTCATGAGTCCAGTTCTAGTGTTTAAATTCATCCCCCAATATGACTTATCTTTATAAATACTTTCCATAAAAGTAGCATGACTTTTGTACATATGAGCAGTGCAACTATTAATTCCTTAACTACTTTTTGCTTAAATTTACACCATGTTTGAAATTCAAAATATATTTCTTTTGTCTTGTGGACAATTCTCTTTGAATATGTAGGCTATATTTGGCAGTTAGCTGTTGGTTGATATTTGATAAGCTAGATGGCAATGTTAAATTACCTAAGAGTACGGTTTTGGTCGTTTATGTAGAATATAATGGGCATAAATGGAAAAAGAAAAAACCCTGGAGCTTGTTGAAACGTTACTTGAAGTATTTTTCAAAAAGATATATAAGCGAGACTTTTCAATAAGTTCAAAACTTAAGCTAGTTTATGATTGCCAAACTGGACGGAAGTTCCCTGGTTTGCTATTGTCCATTTCCTTGCTCGTACAAGAATATTCAGAAGAAAACAGAGATTCATATCACTGCCTGGCCAATGAAGCTTTCTTTCTCCAAATTATGATCCTTCGGAGGTGAAGATCATTCCGACACTTGTTTGCACCAACTACCATGATTTTAAGTTGTCGGCTTTGAATAATCAGCAACTGAAAATAAGTTACAAATAGTAACCAAAGGATTGCACAAGTAACTAGAATTAATGCCATTAAGTTGAAAGTTTAGTGGTAAAAGCTTGGGCATGACATAGTCATGAACCCGAGTTCGAACCTTGGGAGGGGAGTGTTGGCGACATTTAAGTGGGGCAATGTTTAGTCTCCAAATTTGCCAGGGATTAGTCGGGCTTTGGCCTGGACACCCTTACCAAAAAAAAAAAAAAAGTTGAAAGTTTAGACCAAAAGGGCCTTTGGCCTAGCGGTATAATAGCTTGTGGCCTCCTAGGAGGTCAGGGGTTCAAACCTCACCATAAGTGAGGAGCGTGTGTGAGTTTATTTGTTGCATTTGCCGTATATAAATATTATATACTTCAAAAAAGAAAAATGAAAGTTTAGACTTGGGTAAAATCTGATTGCTGATAGTGTCAAATATGTATTCACAGCTGCAATAAATAGGGAGCTCAAGGCTGCACTGAAGAAGGTAAGTTTACATGAAACGACCTTTATTATGGATTGTTTGTATTCATGGATGCTTTAGCTTGACGTAGCGGCATGGGTGTAGGTTTCTGATAGACTTGAGAGAGAGAAGAAAGCATACTCTAAATTTTTCTCGTATGGTGAAAGCGATTTTGTCACGAATGAATGAGGTATGTTTACTATGATCCAAGTGTGGATATCTATCTTTCTATTCTTGACTATATTTATGGCATTTTACCACATGATTTATGTTTATTCCCAGGGCTCATAAATTTTGTCAGATCCTCTCCTTTTATACTCTCCGACCAACCAGAGACCGATTTTCAGACAGTGAATATCGCAAACGTTACAAAGCTTGTTTCGTATTTGATTTGAATCCAATCATGTAAAGGGTGTTTTCTTAGAGCTGATAATCCATTGAGCCACTCAAATAAGGATTCATAGTTTACACAACCTTTTTTCTTTATATCATACGCAAAAGTGTTATCATCGATGATCTCGAGTCGTTTCTAGTTGAATTGCATGCATCCTATTTGCCTGTCATATTAAATTTTGTAAACTGTGTTAGTATTCTGCTTGAAGTCCGTTGGACTTTATGGTTTATGTAACCCACCACGTCTCTATATATATTGGGTGCCGTTACTTTACATGATAAAATTATTAAACTCTTGAATCTGAACTTGAAATTTAGCTTTATTTAGTACATATCTTGAATTTGTATCAAAGAAGAAACTATTTAGCGGAAATGTAACCATAACTTGTACTACAACAAAACTTGCTTTTCAATTAAAACCATTATATTTTATGCAAATCCTTCTTACTTCTTTCTTGAGATACATACATGAGATATATAAGCTATAAGTTTAGTGAGTATTTATAGTTTCATGAATGAGAAATTTTCATGATATTTTGTAAATGATCATTCATAAAAGCTCTTGATCATGTATAAAAATATTCTTTATTCTCATGCATAAACATTTATAAAATACTATATTCTTTATCATGCATAAAACATTCTTTTGAGATCTCACTTGTCACATGCATGTATATCATACTTGTCTTGAGGTTTGCTAACCCCCGGGTCCATAAAAGGCTGCCCTATAAGGTCCGTTTGCAAGACGTTCCTTCTTGTAATATCTCGTACGTTGGATATTATGGTTATACATAACATGTAAAAGAATTCATGCCTTGTGTAACACATATGATAACATGTAAATGATTTTCATRTTTTGTGTGTATACTTGTATTAGAACATGTCATCATGCATATCTTGAATATGTATGTGTATCAATATTTTCATGTAAAACAAAGCATGCCAACATAACTTGTAATGCATAAAATACTTCTATATATAGCATACATGTATCTTATAAATCACATAAGTACTCACCTTGATTTGCCTACTTTTTCCTTTGATTCCTTTCTTTAAGCTTAATTAGGTAAACATAGAGAGATTTCTTATTTTTTTGGTATGCATAATTAGTGACCCTCAAACCTCTATTTATAGATAAATTCATTGCATTAACTACTTGTTCTTTTTGCTCTCAAGATTGTACACTTATGAGAGTTTGACACCTCACCAATAAAGATAAGAGAATTTTTACAACTCATGCTTCTAGTACTCCTTGTCATGTTTCCTAGACTTATCTTGTAATCAATAGTCTTGTCAACTCATACACTTCTAGCCTTAACAACTCATCACTAGCTTGCTTAGTCATGCTTACTAGACTTGTCAACACACTTTTAGCCTTAACAACTCATCACTAGCTTGCTTAATCATGCTTACTAGATGTAACAGCTGCTCGAGTACTTGATTATGTATAAATATTTGTATTTAAGGCAGAAATATTGAGATTTATTTAATAAGAAACTAAGGTGTTACAGTTTAAGCCTTGTAAGAGAAGTGATTATGGAAAATTAGATCCGATCAACTGATGTTTCCATGAGCGCACTTGTGAAAACGACGTTGATGAACTTGAGGTCATGATTAATGATCTTGATTATCACAATATAATGGATGCCAGTAATCGCTTAAATTACGTGAAATGAAAATGAATATGATCACAGTTGCTTGTAAGTTCAAATTTAATAACTATGACAGATTTTTGAATGAGCACAAGTTAGAACATAAAGGTTTTTAATCATCCTAACAAGGAAACACAGGATTTTTAATAATTGTATCATCCTTCCCCCTATGCTATGAACCACTCGAGTGAGGTTTTCTTCTAGGTCGACAGCGATCTGAAGCGATCATAGATTTAAAGGAGATGGGACTGATTGAATAAGCTCTGAAGCCATCGAAGAAAAAACCAAAGCACAACTGGCCAATTGACATTGATATAAGTTTCCTTTTCTCAAGATATCTTACATACAGACATGGCTTGTTGTAGAGTTTTTATAACATCAATAGAAACGTATGTTGATTTCTTGGGGGCAAATCGAAAATCTGTCGTATGAGTTTTTGTTCCTTTTGTCCTGAACTATGTTGATACATCAATCATCTAAAACATCATCGATCATGCTATGTTGATACATCAATCATCTAAAACATCATCGATCATGCTATGTTGGTACATCAATCATCTAAAACATCATCGATCATGTTATAAGAAATGTTGTTGATTGTGAATTGATGGTTTAAAGAGTTAGGGTGGAAGTAAGTAGTAGATTATCAAGATTTACAAACCACAAGTATTAATACAACTAAAACATGCATATCAACTTTAAATATGACCAAAATTATCGACCACCAATCATATTCATACCCACACAAAAAAGGGAAACCTGTTTCTTATAAAAACCTCATTCAACTTGACGTAAAAAGACTTGCCTCTGTCTCAAGTTCTATACCAAAATCGTATATATTGCATCACTCCTCCCCTCTGCTCGATCCAGTAACAAGGCTATGAGTTGTAGTTTTCTAACCCCAAGTCTCTAAGCGCATCAGTGGCTGCATCTCTACAGCTTTTGTGGCTTTCTTTTGCATTTCGTATGATCTTCTCAATACCGTTACTCAGCAAAATAGACCTGTCCAACAACAAAAAAACAAACCCCACTTTTACCATAAAAGAACCAAGTACAAATATATGAGGTAATTGAGTTTGCAACAACAAATCCACCTGTTTTCTGGATTCCTTGCAACAAGATTACGGATCATCAGACAAGAATTCTTCTGCAGCTGATATGCTTGAGGGAACTTTTGCATAGCTTGGATAGCTAGCTCTCCTGCTCCAGCTTCCATGGCCAAAGCTGCATTTTGTGGTGATCGTAGGCACAGGCTACATATGATAGACATTACCTATATGTATTCCAACAAATACACTCCATCAATAACATCATTAAGTTTTGTTTTTGTTCCCCTAATAAAAAACACCATTCCATCCAATCATCCATATATCTTATTCATTGATAGTGCAACTGTTTACATGGGTTCTATAACTCAAGCATGGATGCCAAGATAACATGTATGCAGCAATTATTAGCACAAAAATACTGAGCAGAACGAAATAAGATCTAATATAATATTTTACCTCTTGGAGGACAAAAGGATCATCAGCAAGTCTGCTAGAAAGAGTTATGAGTCTATTCAGGCCTCCCCTTTCAATGATAGTACTCTTGTTAAAGTCACTTCCAGCCAACTAGCCAAGTGAAATATATCAGAGGGATGCAAATACCTCAAGAAGAACAAGTTTTTTTTAAACTAGTCAAGAAGCATAAAACTGGTGACAGTAAATGTGCAGATTGATCTTTTTTTCAAAGTATATAATATTTATATACAGCAAATACTCACGCACACTCCTCAACTTTGGTTGAGGTTTCAACCCTTGACCTCCAGGGAGGCTAGGATTTACTGGTAACCCAGACACTGCTGGGCCAATGACCATTTGGTTTGCATATTGATCTTGTAAGATATATAATACAAACTAGTGTCCTTACACACTTCACAGATTTCTTCTGCATGAGGAATGGGGCAATGCAAACATGCTTCAGTCAGCTTGCAGAAGTTCATTTCTGACACCAATTCAGAACAATTTTATTCAGTCTTTCTGGGGGCAATACTTCACATGGGAGGCAGGACTCACTATTGAGTAATTACTTCTGTACATATTGTAGACAACCTTAGAGAATAATAAAAAGCTGAATTCTACCAACCTCTCTTCACACAAGCTAAATTCTAAAAAATGCTAGGCAGTTGACCAAAGACCTAGTTCTTAATTTGGTTAAGCATGGATTAAGTAGTTTAGTTTAATGTATAAAATCTAATTTGTATAAAATAGCCTTTAATGCTTGAGTTACATATTTGTCTATCGGTACAATTACCCTTTCGAATTACTAGTTTCATTGATAGAGTTACTCTGGTATGCTTTGTAACATCCTCTTCAAGTTGAGAGAAGTTGATTGATGGACACAAATTTAGTCGGTTAATCCCCGTTAACTTTTTGAGACGCTTATTCCAATTATTGGTTAACAGAGCATGTCAAGAACTCCTAGGCAATCGATTAAGTGGCCCTAACTAATTGAAGAGGTGGGGTAAGGCTTATCACCTAGGATCCACTTAAGTGCCCCTAGGAAGGGATTTTAGAAATCTGACACTGTACAACAACATTGAAGTTGTTTCCCAACATTAAACTTAGGTACAGTTTTGATTTGTTGTAAATCTTAAAGTTAAAAGGTCAACATATGAGTAGTTATAATTAGATACTACTCTAAGCTGCAGATAGAAAAAGAAATTAACGTGCAATAAACGAAATTCACAAAGACTTGGTCAATACTTTCAAATTTATGGAATCTGTGAACAAATGAACCCTACTCCACCCCTCCCTTTCTACTGGACTCGGTAGATGCGTGCGTGAGAAAAGAAAACTTATAGTTTGTTCAAAACAGGTGATTAATTATCAGGATTTAGGAGATTCGATTAAACCTTCGTTAACAAGGCGCAGCAAGCTTTAGCCACAACTTTGTTTGCCTGTACACCAGAGTCATCAATACAAATGAGCAATGAATCTATACCACCATTTTCAGCAACGGATCTGCATATTTCATCCTGAAACAAAACAGATTCCACAACCAAGTAGACACTTAGTTCTGCGAAAAGAAAAAAAAAAGAAAAAAAAGAAGAAGAGACGCCTATCTAATCAGAATAAAGACATAAGCATAGTCGTTATGCATTATAAACTATAATAGGATTTATGTCAAGTCATTAAGATGCTTAGCACATGGATTCTAGTTCATAGTAAACAAAGTTTAAAGGATTCACCAGATAGTAATTCCTGAAATAAGCTGCTATAGGCTAAACTGGTTCAGAAATTTAGGACTTCAAGTCTTCATGCTTCATTAAACAATTTGCTTTTATCTCTAAACAATAATATAACACAAACAACTACAGTTTGAACTGCTTCTGAAGAAAAGCTTCCACATAGAAACCTCAATGATGGACCTATGAGAAAAAAGAATGGGAAACAACACGTATCATTTCTATTTCACTAGCACATGGAAATTAGCACTCACATTCACTGCAACAGCCTTTAGTGCAATAGTTGCTGATACCAGGCTTGGTGAGCTAATCCCATCTTTAAGTGACTCCACAAGAGCTTCAGCAATTCCAGTTTTCGCAAATTGTCGAGCATAGCCATAAACCTAAACAGACACCATGTAATACTTTAAGATCAGCATGAACAATCTCTTAGGACGTACATACTATAGGATGTCATTTCAAAAACATTTAGCTCATTTGAACCTGAGCTTAAAAGAGCTAGAGAAGGAAAACAGAAAAACAAACAAATCAAAACATTAGCATGTGGAGAATAAATGAAAGCTGAGATTTAAGGTTAAAAACTTATCTTATTTGACTTTTAAACATGAAGTATTAAGCAGTTGATGGACTTATTTCTGTGAAATCACTTACTTGTGAAGCCACTACACGGTTATCATCAGCTGTCAAAAGCACTCGAATAGCATCATATAAACTGGGGATGCTCCCTTTACTGTGTTTCCTCATGATCGAAACCATCAACTCATCTATGTGCAAGTCCATGAAAGATTCCTTGAGAACCTCATTACCAGTTGTAGCCGCAGCAACAACAGAAAAACAACTATTCAAGATATTCACGTTTTGAGTTCCATCACTCAGGATATCAACCACCATTTTCGGCCCACCATTCTGCCGAAAAGTTTCTGTACTTTGAAGATCTGCATAAAACCGAATCTATTCATGAGTCACCTTAAACAAATATTACGACATAAACCAGATAGCCTCGCTAAACAGCGCATTGCAGCATGTGCTCTATTTCTCATTATCTCCTTAGTCTTCCATGTAATGAACTTCAAGATTGAGAAAATGGGGTAGAAGTAAAGCGTAAAGACAGCATAAGTTATCGATGATAATTTATCCTCTGATCTAATCTGAGCCACTATCGGCAAGAATTAGAACTATATAATCTTCTATTTATTCACAATTTAAACATCCGATTGGCAAAGAATATACACATAGTGTAATGATTAAAGAAGAGACGGATAGAGCTCCAGTAGTCAATGAAAAATCAGCCAAACTAATTTTCATGTAAAAGATCGACTTAACCAATCATACCATGAAGAAATGCAGCCAATGCATTTAAAGCTGATGCAAGTGCTGAATGACGGCCACCAACTGCAAGTTTCGAACAAATAGAGCACATCAACTCTATCCCTCCATTTCTCGTAGCAATTGCAGCATTTCCGGATCCCTCAACACGAGACAGAGCCGTCAGATTATCCATCAAACTTAGCGCCTCATCTACGACTGCTTCGTCTGTCCAGTCAGAAATCTGTAATTGCTTGATTCTATCAAGAGATTGAATCACGGGATTAGTTTCTCCAGGGAGTGTAGAGGTGACAATACCAGAGAGATCGACACCTTGAAGGGTAAGGGTTTCGATGGCGTCGCTTAGGGCTTCAGCTGGTTCCATACCTAGATCGTCTATGTTTTCCTTTACCATTTCATCGAATGCTTGTTGCGAGATCGCGCGACCGCTTGGCTTCGCAGGGGCCATGTCGGACCGGCGGTAACGTTGTTGGTTGCCGGGGAAAAGGACGGTGGTGGAAAACCGGAGAGGGAGTAGCACTGTTTGAAAGTTTTAAGCTCGTTCTCCAAATCAACTTCAAAATTTTGAATTGATTGATTCCTAAAATAGAGAATACAAGATTTCGATTCAAGAAATAGATTTATAAGATAAATTCTTCAAAAACAAGAAAAGATTACATGTATGAATAATCGAAAAGGGTTTTTGTTTATCTCTTAATAGTTTCTTTAAGAGGCAATCTCTGAATCGTTAAAAGGTGAATCTTGTTTTACAAAAGAAAAAGTCTGCCTCTTAATGGTTCTAAAATCTTCTGAATGATTTTGTATCATAGATCTCCTTTAACTATTAAGAACCCTAATTTCATTGTACACAATTACCAAACAATTATATATCATTTTGCACTATATCATGAGAGCCTCTTAATCATTCTGACCACTTAATCATTCTGTATCAAACCATTCAGCAATTATCAAACAGCCCCTAAGTCATACATGCTATTAAGCTCATTAAGGTGAAATCGAATCACCCTTAATTATCATACCAAATATGTGATATAATACGATACGATATAATGTTAATTACCATTCAAGATACATAGTTTGATGGACGGAATAAAAACGTACAACTTGGATTGTAGAAAGGTAAATGTAGAAGGAGGTAGAGGTTTGGTGAAGATGTCAATGTTCTGATCATGAATACATATGAATTGAACTTGGTAGAGGCTTCAAACATCTAGGAGTAGGACCCGAGGATGTGGGTATGGTCAGGGAGGAACGACCAATTGACCGGAGGGTGTTAGAGTAGCTATTTGATATCGAGAAAAACAAGAAATGTAAAGGATAGTTGAGGCCTGTGTTTGACACGGTTTCCTTAAAACATATTCGCTCCCATATGGTGCATCCATTTCTCAGGATACAACAGCCAAAACAATTTACGAGAAAATGCGAATGTGGGTGACGCGTGAGGTTTATCTTGCAGAGAAGTCGAGTAGAGAGGATTGCACTTCTCCAGTGTATTTTTGAAAGAGCCAAAACTCTTTTTACATATTGTTAGAGATCTCGGTTGTAGAAGGAAATGGTCAAGAGTTTCCTCGATTAAGTTAGATAATGAAGGAAGCTATTAAATAGTTGATTAAATCAAAATTTGAATTTTTTTAATTTTGGCGGAAATTCAATTCCAATTCAAAATCTGAATAATTTTTTATTTTTGAAATAAAAACGTAAGGAAATTCAACAAAACTGATTTACCTCGAGTTGCATTCGTATCCACGGGACACGTGGTCGCATACAAGTTCAATGGTCCGAGGTCAAAAATTAAGAGGTATGGAAAAGGTCGTCATACAACTGAAATATATTGGGTTGGTTTGCTTGGTTTAGTTTTAGTAAGATCCAAAATAACAATCATAAACTTTTACATGTCCAAAATTTGTACAATTTTTTGTATAGGGGTGAACAATACCCGATATACTTGATCCAACCTCACCCCAAAAACGGCAAAAAGTCGGGCTCCGAAACCCGATTAAACCGGACACCCGAAACCCGATATTTTCCTCAGATAAGTAGGATCGGGTTGGTATCCTACTTACCCCCGACAAGTCTAGCGATTAATTAATATATTATATTTTCCTTTTAAGATTTAACTAAGCTTAACCTAATTTCCTAATCGACAACGACTCTTCTCCCTACTTCGACAATTGAACTTTGAGCTCCGTCCACGAGAGATGTGCCACCAGCCACGACCTCCTTCCTTAGTTCGGTATTGACATTTTGTTACAGAAATCAAAGAACTAAGAGGTCATGTAATCATTTTGTTACTCACTTAGATACTTTGATATTGAGCCGTCCCGTTGCTCACTCCTAGTTTTATATGATAATAAAAGTTAATCAATCAAAATTATAACGATATAATTTGTAACCAAAAAAAAAAAAAGAAACACAATTTTTTGATGTATTTTAATTAATCTATGATTATGTATTTCTAATATGATAAATGTGTAAAATGAAAAATGAAAACATTAAGAAGTATATATAAACAAATTAATTTGAATGTATTTATGATTTTTAATAGTATGATTAAATCTAACAATATTTAATATTAGACTTATTTTGAAGGTATTGATGAGCCAATTATCATGATATAATTTGTAAAAAAGAATAAATGTATTTTTAATGCATTTTATTTCAAATACAATCATTTATGTTAATATGATAAGAGTGTAAAAAAAAAAGGATTTAAAGTAAATTAAATAACTAAATATAAGAATAAAGTGTAACATAGAAATCAAAAATTATTTGACTTTTAATAGGTGAGAGACATGGAAGGTTCTTCAAGCTTTAAAGTTTATACATTTAGCATAAGAACTTGCACCTCTTAAAAATTTCAATATAACTGTAACTCTTCCTTTTTAATATAGTATAGATATAGATTTAGATTTAACTTCCACTGATTATTATGAATCAGATTTATTCTAAGTCAAGTTACTATTGAAGTCATTTAAATCAAATTCAAAAAATTAATAATCAGATTATCAAATCGTATACATGCTTACCTTCCAAATATATCTGTTTTTATATATTCGTATAAATCATGAGAACACAAGAACTTAAAAAGATCCCCAAGACACCAACCCAACTAAACCAAAATTAGGTTCATTTCCATTTATTACTTCAATTCTGTCCTTCAATAATCTCTATATAAACACATATTTCCAAACTTCACAAATCGCAAACCCATCCTTGTTTCATTACTTCCAAAGCCCTTTTCTTCCATTTGAGAAAGCTCAAACACAAGTAAAATGGCTTTGATGTACACAAACATGTTTATTCTAATAACCACAACCGTTGCAATACTGACAATTGGATCAAGCAACGCAAACTTTCAAAAGGGTCCTCAAAATTGGAACTTTGGGTTCAACCATACCAATGAGCCATTTAGACACGAGAACCCAGTTCAGAGTTCTAGAAGGATTATTGTTGGAGGATCTGATAATTGGCGTTTTGGCTTCAATTACACTGAATGGGCTAGGACGAATGCTCCATTTTTTTTCAACGACACTCTAGGTACGTATCTTTATGGTGCAAGGACCATGCATTTCTGAATATTTATTTCATTTAGCCCAACTTGTTGAAATATTATTGACTTTAGTAACCAATATATTTCCCCATATGATTCATCGTTGAAATTGATGTGCTACAGTGTTCAAATTTGATCCACCTAGCGATAGCAATGCACATCCACATAGCATTTATCTGCTACCGAATTTATGGAGTTTTTTGAGGTGCGACCTAAGATGGGCGAAACGCGTTGCAAACACATCACAAGGCAGAGGAGAAGGTTTTGAGTTTGTGCTCAACAAGTGGAAGCCATATTACTTCGCTTGTGGGGAAAGTAACGGTTTCCATTGTCAATCAGGAATGAAATTCTTTGTAATGCCATTGTTTCGTTGGTACTAGTCCTTTAAGCGTTTGATTTGGTACACTTGAAAAAAGATGAACCAGTTGTTTTTGTTTTAGGTTTTTGCCAATTTAAGAAATCAGAAAATAAGTGAATTTTCATCGTACTAAGTACACGTAATTTTTGTTTATTGTTTGTTTTGCTTCACGTACTATTTTTTTAATTTGAGCTTCTCGTATCATTTACACCCCTATTTTTATCTTCATTTTTGATAAAAAGAAACTTCCATGTATGTAAATTTTTTTATGGATTTGGTCCCTAAAGCAAATGGCTGTCTATTGTCTCTGTTAAGTACGAGGGGTAAAATGGTTAATTTACTATTTTTCTGTAACTTATGATTACCTCAGAGATCAAACTGTAATTTACTCTATTAAATTTGGTAATAAAATACTTTCCTCATGAGGGGGATAGTTTGAATGGTATAAAAATGATATAATTGTTGTTTTATTATACATATCAAATTCTCTCATATCCTCCTACTCTCGATATTTCTAGTGAAATAATTCAAGATAATATTCAGACCTACGTTACCCTCACGACTTGTGCTCAGGTCGTTTGAGTCGTATCATGGGAAACAAACGCACCGTTGGGGAATGAATTTGTTTTAAGGACACTATATTAAACACATGTGTTGACTTATTAATCGGTTTTTATTGCTTGATTCAAATACATTACATATAACATGTGAATTCAATACCTTTTTGTATATATGTTCGTTCCATCATCAATGTTAAAACACTTGAAGAAGACGAAAAACCCATCATACCAACCATCCATTGTGGCTGAATCAACCCCCGCCTTAGCTCACGTTTGCACTAGCAACATTTGAGTAGCCCCCTCGTCGGAAATTTTGAGGAAGACAGAAGATTCGATGAAAGATTTTGGTAACTAAGGTCGAAAAAAAGCTAAAAGACTTGCCAACTATAGAGAAAAGTGGAATTACATGAGCAAGATCGTCAGAAAAATGTAATTTGGAGGTGGGATTTACGACTTGTATGTTACTGGTTATACAGTAGAAGCCTTTTTGTACTACTTTATATTTAATTATGTTTAATGCTCCTGAACTTTTTAAGCTCGTTATGATACTTTTTCAATGTTTGAACACTTGTTTTTTTAAAATTTAATGAGTGAATGTGTATATACTAAGCGGATGTTTGGTTCGCAGAATGATTTCTGAATGAATAGAATCTGTCAAAAGAATTGAAATCTGGAATGAATTGGAATGAAATGTTATCAGGTTTGACAAGTGTTTGGTTGGCAGGAATGTAATTTAATCAGTCTAATGAATTGAAATCTGCTTGTTTGGTTTGTAGCAGAATTGGAATGAAATGATGAAAAAAAAGACAAAAATACATTTTCTTTGATATTTTTCATAAAAAAAAAATTTAAAATTTGGTGTTTGATAAGCAGAAATCGAAAGGCAGTAATCATGAGGATATTTTTGTCATTTACATATTTTTAGATGGAATGAATTTCAATTTCATCAGTTTTTGGAAGGAACGGTGAAATCCTCGAATGATGGAATCTTTGGAATTCAATTTCATTCCATGGGTAACCAAATGTTGGAATAAAATTTGGTCAACGGAATTGACCATTCCAATTCCACCAGATTCCGGCGGATTTCGAAGAACCTAAGGACCCCTAAAATTTTGCATCCATTATGTATGGTTTTTGTATGTATTCATGTTTTGTGTTTTTTACCATCCCACCAATTCAGTTGACTCTGACCTCACTTCATATTCAGATGTCCAAACATATGTTCCAATCATTACAAATGACACCCACAAGTCTGAAACAACACAGCAATTTCGATTTTGACTTTAAATTCAAACTTATTCACAACAGAAGGAAAAAAAAAAAGCTAAATAAATTTATTTCAAACATTAAGGTTCATTTATCGTATTTCTTATCGGGTAAGAGGCTTATAATGCGTCACTTTTCTTACCGAGTAAGCTTGGCGATGGTCAAGAAACTTATCCAATAAAAGGCGTAGCAAAGATCAAATATCTTACCCGATAAACACTTACCGGACAAAAGATACTTATCAACAATCCATTTGATGGCCAAGAATGTTACCGATAAGGTAAGGAAAAGTGATGACTGTTGTCGGTAATCGTTTACCCAATACATCCACTTAATTTCTAATATATGTCCAAATGAGAACACAAGAACTTAACGAAGATTCTAAGGTTTCAACATTGCACCAAACCAACTAAGCCAAAATTAGGTTCATTTCCTTTTGATGCTTCAATTCTTTGCTTCATTAATTTCTATATTATAAACGCATTTTTTCACATACCCATTCTTATTTCATTACGTCCAACATCCTACTCTTCCATTTGAGAAAGCTCAGTGAAAATTGAACTGGTTTTGAAGTATAAAAGATACTTATTTTAATAACTACAACGGTTGTAATATTGTCGATTGGATCAAGCGAAAATTGGAACTTCAGGTTCGACCGTACCAATGAGACATTTAGACACATGAACCCAGTTCAAGGCTCTGGAAGGAGTATTGCTGGTGGATCTAATAATTAGCGTTTCAGATCTAATTATATTGAATGGGATAGGAGGAATGCTCCATTTTGCTGCAACGACACTCGACGTATGTATCTTTATGGTGCAAGGACCATGCATTTCTAAATATTATTTTATTTAATATTTCATTTAGCCCAACTTGTTGAAAATATTATTAATCCTAGTAACCAATTGTACACATATATTTCCTCATATGATTCGTAGTTCGAATTGATGGTGCTACAGTGTTCAAATTTGATCCACCTAGCGATAGCAATGCACATCCACATAGCACCATCAATTCGAACTTTAAGGGGTTTATAAATAATTCAATTGTTGGATGGAATAAGACTCGTTAATAAAAGGTTCTTCATGTGCCCGTACGGAAAGGGGTGCTAAATTGGGTTGAATTGGCCATGGACCATTGAACTTGTCTGCACATATGTTGTGGACACACATACAGTTTGAGTCAACTGTAAAAAAAAAGTTCAAATTAAGCTTCGAAATTCGAAATATACTCCGAAATAACAACCTATTATTTCCTTTCTCCAATCGTGATTTCGTTGGCCTGATTTGAATAGTATAGAAAGGCTATATTGTTGCCTCATTATACACATCAAATTCTCTCCTCTTCTTCTCACTCTTGATATTTCCATTGAACTGATTCAAGGCAGTATTCAAGCATACCTTACATTTGATTCTGGTGGTTAAGCCATTGTAAGTGCACGGTTTGGGTGTCAATCTGTTTTAAGGACACCTATTAAACATAAACCTAGGCTTATTAATCGGTTTTTATTGTTTTATCAGAACACATAACGTCTGGCATGTAGATATAATACCCTTTCGGATATAGATGATCTCTCTATCATCAATGTCAAAACACTTGAGAAAAACGAAAAAAAAAAACCATTATACTAATTAACAATCCATTCTCAACATCATTGTCATCGTATCACCATCGCGTCCTAGCTAACATCTACACTAACAACAACTGGTTAGGCCCCGTTTTGAAACATTTGAGGCATATGAAAGAAAATCCGAGAAAGGTTTTGTTAACTAAGGTTGAAAAGAGAGTTAAAAACCTGTCAACTACGAAGAAAAGTTGGATCATATGAGCAAGATCGATAGAAGTGAAACTTTTGACTTGTATGTTATACGTTGTACAATATAAGCCTTTTTACACTGAATTTTAGATCTTAGTTTTAAATTTATATATAATTAAGATTTTTAAATTTTGCAAAAATGCTACCAAATATTTTAAGGGTATTATGATATTTTTTTTATTAATCTGGATATCCAACCCGCTATACAAGTCAACTAATCCTAGGACGACCATCTGCTTTGTAGATAGCTTGAAGTCACTGCATTTGAACATCCGTGGCCAAAAGGGGGTTTTTATTCCTCTTTGGATTTGAACCTAGGATCTCCAGGTACTTTTGACCTTTGTAGCGAAGCTCAAACAAATCAGACACCATTTTTTGTTGTTTATGATATTCTTTTTAATGTTTCCAATACCAACATTTGTTTTTAAAGTATAATGAGTGCATGTTTATAAAAAAGTTGGCAAGTAAACAAACATTCGTATAGTTTAAATTCATGAATATATTTGTTTGGTATACTCGTTATGATGATTTTGGATACATTCATTCGTATTTTGACTGATTCAGTTGACTTTGACCTGACCTCATGCTGATGTCAAACTAGGACCCACACATTCATCACAAATAATACCTCCAATCCAAGTCTGAAACAGCATGGTAATTTCGGCGTCTGCTTTGAGTTGGAAGTCAAACTTGAACCCCATTTAGCAATAGAAATCCATTTTGGGCCCTTACCAAATGCTTATCCGGATAAGTGTTTACTAAATAATACTATCTCATCGGATGAATATAGTAAGAATCAAGAATCTTACCTGGTAAGAGCCAAACAAGGATCAAGAGTCTTACCCGGTAAATGAAGGCGATAGACTCTTACCACGGTAAGCACTTACCGGGTAAATTATTGTATACAGTGTCGTTTTGGTGAACTAAAATCTTACCCGGTAAGTACATAATAATATTGAATTTACCAGTAAGCACATACCCGGTAAGTGTTTGATAAACGGCCCCTAAATTTATTTTGAAGATTAAGGTAATCACTTATCGGATCATTTACTAAGTACTTTATAGGGTGAACGTAGTAGGATCGGGAATCTTACTCGGTAAGAGACAAGGTGAGGATCGAGAGTCTTACCTTGTAATTTTACAGAGTCATGTGGCTTACTAACAATCTGTTTTGAAAGCCATGAATATTACCCGACAAGGCAAGTGAATGTGGAGATTTTTTCCTATAAGCGTTTGGTAAACAGACCCCTACATCTACTTTTAACGTCAGATATGATCAAAAGTCCAAACTTGTAACGCCCAAATCTCAAAGCAACAAATAAAAAACTAACTTCGAATTCAACTTAAAACCATGGTGAGAGTTGAATTGAAAATTATCAGGCCAGTCTACTGCTTTGGGCTATGAGGCATTACAAATTGTGTCGGAGTCTATCTTGCACCATCGGGATGGTGGGGTAAATCTCATATTTGTAACATCTTAGGTGAAACTCACAACACCGATTACAAGGAGGATGTTGGGTTGCCTGACGAGGACGTCAAGAATTTAAGTGTAGGAATTTGTCACAACCCCTCCCAAATGGATATAAAATGAGATTTGGGTGCTCTGTATAATCATTAAGTTGTAGGTTATTAATAACTTTCATAATGACTTACAGTTGAATCGGAAATTATTGGACTGGTTTGTTGCTTTAAGCTATGAAGCGTTACAAAATTTATAGTTTTAGTATAGTTAATTAAACTCGATTGCATCCTTAATCTTCAAATACATCCACTTTATATCTATACTAGCTATATTATAAAACATTTGATAAAAATTCTTAACAACCATTTTTTATGCATGGAATATTGTTTATTGATACATATTACTTAAAATTCAAGATTACAAGTAAATTGTGCATAAGTACAACTTATTAAAACTTCATGTTTGAATTCGTATAATTAACTGCAGATAAACATAACCAAATACAAGATAAACGACTCATTTTAAACATTAAAAAATCTAAAATATAATTAAGATAATTGAATTCTAATAGAATAATTAATTATTATCTTTATAAACAATTATATTACTAAACCAAAAAAATTACTTCGTTATTAAACCTAAAATAAATTATAATAAAATTTTGAAATTAAAGAAATTACACAAAAAACGAGAACTTTTCAATAGTTAATTTGATATTAATATCGATATATTATTTCAAATTTTCAGAATATCTTCAAATTTATATTTTATTCAAAAATAAAAACATTATCGTTTTCTCTAAACCACATAAAACCGTATTATATCAACAGAGATAAATAATAAAACAAAACATAAAAATCAAGATGTATCTCGCTAGATTACACGAATACCCTTTTAATATACATACAAATCAGAACACACGAGCTTAATAAAGATTCACAAGGTTTCAACTTACACCAACCCAACTAAACCCAAAATTAGGTTCATTTCCATTTGTTACTTCAATTCTTTGCTTCAATAATCTCTATATAAACACCTTTCTCCAAACTTTAGTAATCACCAAGCAACCTCCTTTTCTTTCATTAAGAAAGCTCAAACAAGTAAAATGGCTTTGATTTACACAAAGATGTTCATCATAATAACCATAACTGCTGCTATATTGGCAACTGGATCGAGCAATGCAGACTTTCGAAAGGGTCCCGGAAATTGGAACTTTGGGTTCAATCATACCAATGATCCATTTAGACACACGAATCCAATTCAAAACGATAGAAGGATTATTGTCGGTGGATCTGAAAATTGGCATTTCGGGTTTAATTACACTGAATGGGCTAGGACGAATGCTCCATTCTTCTTCAATGACACTCTAGGTACGTATCTTTATATATGGTAAAACGACCATGCACTTCTAGATATTTCTTTTTTTACTTAAAACTAATGCTCGGGACCGTTCGTTGAAATGTGACGATAATGTTTTTATAGGAAACATTAACTTGTGGTGATAATATTCCGACAGGAAATATTGAATTAGAATAACATGAAACATAATTTCTCAACTACATTTTTCAATTTACCATCTCCATAGCAATGTGGGATAACCATAATAAAATCATAATTTAATGTTTGAAAATTCGCAAATTTAATTGTTCCACATCATCTATTCAAGATTTTCCATTATATAGATTTCATTTATCCCAATTTGTTGAAAATATTATTAATCCTAGTAACCAATTGAACACACACATACATACACACATACATGCATGCATACATATATATATATATATATATATATATATATATATATTTCCTCTCATGATTTGATGTTGAAATTGATGGTGCTACAGTATTCAAATTTGATCCACCTAGCGATAGCAATGCACATCCACATAGCATTTATTTGCTACCGAATTTATGGAGTTTTTTGAGGTGCGACCTAAGATGGGCGAAACGCGTTGCAAACACATCACAAGGCGGAGGAGAAGGGTTTGAGTTTGTGCTCAACAAGTGGAAGCCATATTACTTCGCTTGTGGAGAAAGTAACGGTTTCCATTGTCAATCAGGAATGAAATTTTTTGTAATGCCATTGTTTCGTTGGTACTAGTCCTTTAAACGTTTGATTTGGTACACTTGAAGAAAGATGAATCAGTTGTTTTTGTTTTAGGTTTTTGCCAATTTAAAAAATAAGAAAATAAGTGAATTTTGATTGTATTAAGTACACGTAATCTTTGTTTCCAATGTTGTTTGTTTTGCTTCACATAATGTTTTTTTTTTTGAAAATGATATATGTTTGTTTTATAGAAATTTAATGAAATATCTATTGTTTCAGTCGTTATCTATATTATATTATTAGCTACATAAGTAGAAGTCTTAAAAATAACTTATTAAACATTTAGTATTACTTAGGAGTTGTTTGGTTATGGCTTAATGGGTTGTATAGCCTAATTGCTTATTTGCTCAGCCATAAATAGGTGTTCGGTTGTGGCTTATTCGCTCAGCCGATGGTTGAATTGCTCAGCTAGAAATCACCTGTCCATTACACTCCACCATTAAATTTTCCCTTATTTTCCTCAATTACCTTTGCAATAAAGAAACCCTAACTTAACACTCAAGTTCACGCTTCGAAATATATCAGCGCTCCCATCTTCTTCAAACTTCTCAAGGTTTTAATTTCAGATTGATAAATTTGTAAGAAAAGAAAGAGAAGAAAAATCTTGATGGATCTATGGAAATCAAGAAAGATGGTTTCTTTCAATGTTGGAAAGGCAATCGAGATCAAGGTTCCAAGAGGAACTGTTCTTCCCATAAATCATTTCGCCGAATAATTGTGATTCATCGTCTCCTTAAGGTGCTTCTGTTTTTTCATCAGTTATTTAGGCCTTTTTTTTTGTCATTGTTGACCTGCTTTATGTTATTTTCTTGGAATTCATTTCCATTCTATGGAGGTTGTTTTGAATTGTTCAAGAATTTTGTTTTCTTCAAGCCTAGCATTGATAATTTTATAATTTTTATAATTAAAAGTCATTTATTTAAAAAAAATTATCAAACAATACAAAAATATAGATGAGTAAAATGGTCATTTCTGACATTAATATTGTTTATTCAGCACAACAACCAAACAACAATTTATTTGTCATCATATAGACAATTTTATCCATACATGTCTTAATAAAAAAACCCACCAAACAACCCCTTAGTATACATAGTAACTAATAAAAATTCAAAATTACAATTACTACAATTTTTAAAAACTCTTTAAGCTATACTATTAAGACATAATACTCTGTCACTATATTTATACACAAAAAAATACCCCATTAAAATTAAACAAATTACTTCTTTATTCTTATATATAGAATATACAAATTACAATACAATTTTGGATAAAACAAATTATTTATAAAAAAAATTGAGATGAATAGTGATATATTTATTTAAATATAATTTTCGGATTTTCCTTTTTAATAAGAAATTTGTATTAATTTCTAGAGTAAACTACAATTTTGGTTCCTAAGGTTTAGTGATTTCTTTGAAAATGGGACCTGAATTCTAATAAGTCAAGTTTTCGTCTCTCAAGTTTGGGTTTTGCTTTGAAAATGGGACATCATCACTAACTCAGCTAAAAATCTCTGCTAGTGTCAAGGGTAAATTTGTCCAATATTTTATTTCTTATATTTATAAAAACAATCAAACTTAAGGGACATGTACTTAAAGTTATTTTTTATTAACCAAATCCATAATAATAGTTGAAATTTTGAACAAACGTAATAAGCAAGGCTAAGGATGAATGGAATTTTGAATTTGATTATTGATGGATTTTCCCAATTTATATACCGCGATCAATTGAGAAATGAAAACTAAAAACATAATGTCTTTGACGAACTTTTTTTAACTGGGCCATAAAAGTAAACACTACAAAGTGAAACTACACTTAATCAATACATGTGTATTTTAGGCGGTCGGTTCGGTCCAGACTGCTAAAAAAAACGTTTAAACCGCATACCAAACCGGACGCCAAAAATGGTCAAGTTTGATATGCTTTGAACGGTCCAACGGTCTTTTTAAACACCCTTACCGGTTCTTCAAATGGCACCAGCTCAGAACCTACAAATGACTCTCAATGTAACCCTTCAAATGGCAGCAACAGCTCAGATCTTTCCCATAAGATACACATAATGAAAAAGTGCAACCTAGAAAAAGTAAGCGTGACGACATTCCAAAAAAGCATTTCAACATCGAATGAAAAGGTTATGATTTTGCTCAATTTGTTGGTGATCCAACAAATTCCGAATTTGATATAAAAAATGAAGTATGGAGGAGAGGTATGCAAGAAGAAATCAATGCCATCGAGAGCAATGGAACTTGGAGGCTAGTTGAACTACCAAACAAAAAAAAGGCAATCAGTCTTATTTGTAGTTACTTAGGAGTATTGTTTATCGCTGGATTTAATCATATACGTATAACAAATAAGTAATACTGAATCACTGATACACAAGTACATACAAAAAAACGAACAAATTATGCTTGGACAAGATGAAAATATGTTTGCATATCAATGCTTTTGGTTGCTGCCTTCACTCAACCAAGATATCTTAAAACTTTATATTGTATATAAATATAATAAAATTTTATCAAAATTATATGTTAGAGGCGGATTAGGTTGGGTAGAGTTAGGCCTAACCCAATTTCAACCTTATTACTTAACGAGTTGGTGAGTTGACGGGTTGACACTTTAGCTGGTTGGTGGATTGAGTTTAATTGAGTTGGACTGTTTGAGTGGATTGACGGTCTTTTATACAACAATAGCAAGGTTGTAGGGGAAAATGTGGGGTTGAACATGGTATGATAACGTGTTTTTTTGGGTATAAAATGCACCAACCCACCAATTGAGTTGACTTTGACCCTCACCTCATATGAAGATTACTTTTCAATAACACAAATCACCTTATCTTCCAATCATTACAAATAATACCCACAAGTTTGAAACAATGTAGTAATTTCGCTGTGGAGTTGAAATTCATGCATAAATTTATTTCAAATATTAACCGTATTTCTAACAATTATGTAAAATCATCATAATCCCTATTTTATAACTGTTGAAGATGTTTTAAATCTACTTTTCGTGTCTAATATGATCAATTTTACTTACTTCTAAGTCTAGATATGTAACGTCTCAAATACGTAATAGGTTGAACCAATAACGTCGGATTCAACTTAAAATCATGGTCGAAATCGAATTGGAATTATGAAGACAATATGCTATTTTAGGGTATAGGACGTTACAAATTTTAAAGTTTAATATATTTAATTAAACTCGATTACATCATTAATTTCTAAATACATCAACTTAATTTCTACTGTATACAAATGAGAACACAAGAACTTAATAAAGATCCTAAGGTTTACACCAACCCAACTAAGCTAAAATTAGGTTCATTCCCATTTGTTACTTCAATTCTCTGCTTTAATGATCTCTACATAAACACATTTTTCCGAACTTCACTAATCACCAACACATTCTTATTTCATTACTTCCGACGTCGAATTCTTCCATCTGAGAAAGCTCAAACACTAAGTAATATGGTTTTGATGTACCCGAAGATGCTCATTCTAATAAGCATAATTGCTGCAATATTGGCAATTGGATCGAGCAATGCAAACTTTCAAAAGGGCTCTCAAAACTGGAGGTTCGGGTTCAACCATACCAATGAGCCATTCAGACACAAGAACCTAGTTCAAGGCTCTAGAAGGATTATTGTTGGTGGATCTGATAATTGGCGTTTTGGGTTTAATTACACTGAATGGGCTAGGACAAATGCTCCGTTCTTCTTCAACGATACTTTAGGTACGTATCTTTATGGTACAAGAGCCATGCATTTTAAAAAAAAATATTTTTATACTTGAAATTTCATTTAATCCAACTTGTTGAAAATGTTATAATCTTAGTAACCAATTGAACACACATATTTCCTCATATGAGTTAATGTTGAAATCGATGGTGATACAGTGTTCAAATTTGATCCACCTAGCGATAGTAATGCGCATCCACATAGCATTTATTTGCTACCAAATCTATGGAGTTTTCTGAGGTGCGACCTAAGATGGGCGAAACGTGTGGCAAACACATCACAAGGCGGAGGAGAAGGGTTCGAGTTTGTGCTCAACAAATGGAAGCCATATTACTTCGCTTGTGGAGAAAGCAACGGTTTCCATTGTCAATCAGGAATGAAGTTTTTTGTAATGCCATTGTTTCGTTGGTACTAGACCTTTGAATGCTCGGTTTGGTGCACTTGAAATGAGTTGAATCAATTGTTTTTTTTAAGTTTACCAGTTTAACACATAAGAAAATAAGTGAATGTTGATTGTTTTATCAAGTACTTGTAATTTTTGGTTCCAGTAATATTGTTTATTTTGCTTTAGATGATGTTTTTTGAACTTGAAATGTGTTCGTCTTATAGAACTTCAATGAAATGTTTTATGTCTTAATCATTAGCTATACTATATTTTAAACCGAGTAAGTAAAATTCATAAAAATAACTTATTAAATATGAAGTATTGTTTAGTAATGCATATTGCCTTAGAATTCAAGTTTACGAATAATTATGCGCATGCACAACTTAAACAAAATTGAACTCAGTAAATACTCTATAACTGTCTTTATACACAGAAAAAAAACTCCATCATAAGTAGAACAAATTACATCTTTTATTTTTAAATCGAAATTATCTTACCTTACAAGTAGGAATTAAATAAATTATACAAAAAAGAGAATTTTATAGTTTTTAATTCGACATGAATATCAATATATTTCTTTACTGCTTGCAATTTATATTTTATTCAAATATAGATTTTGAATATTCTTTTCTAGTGAAATAACGTATTAACTTTTGTTATTGGTTTACAATAAAATCTTATGGAGTTTCAACTGAAGGTTAACAAATGAGAAGTTAATTGTTATAGTAGAATTGGAAGGTTCCAGAGGAGCTATGTATCCATGGAACCTTCACGTAGACGGGTTAAGTAGGAGATCTAGAGGCTTTGCATGTACTATGCAGAGGCTCTGTGTTTGGGAGTCAAGCTCTGTATCCGAGAACTTGGCTTTTAGGCGCGCATGTATTTGGTCTTCATGCCCTCTGTTTCTAATATCTGTATTCGAGCTTCGTGTTCCGAGCTCTGTATCCGAGTGTCCGTGCTCTTGTCCAAGTGCTCGGGCTCTGTGTCTGAGCTCTTCCAGACTTAGTTTGATATAAATCAGATCTCTGGAAATCTGTTTTTCAGATTTCTAAAGAAAACTCTGCAGACTTTTGTAATTGACAAATTTAGAAGCAATTTTCGTCAATACCTTTCAATCTCCCCCTTTGCTTCAAAACTTGAAAATTCCTCTCTTTAAGAATAGTTTCATATTCTCTAAATAAGAACTTCTTCAATCTTTTTAACAATCTCTCCCTTTGAAACAAATCAGAAATATTTTTCACAGTTATTCCCTTTTAACTTTTAACTCCCTCTTAATCATAGCAAGTAATAATCTTCTATGATATTTCTTTACTCCCCCTCCCCCTCCCCCCCCCTTTGTCAGAAATAGTTCAATATCAATTTCCCTTATCTTTAAAAATGACACATTCATTTGATAATTGCTCCCTCTTATGATGTGAATGGGGAGCATGTACATCATACTTTGAAATGAATGATTCTAGAATAATATGCCGTCAATTCATAAAGTTTTAAGCAGATTTTTTCAAATTCGCTTATTTAATCTTTTTAGATTATTATATTGGGAAAGTTTCAGTTTCTGCTTATGAAGTTGTTTTCAATCTTTTATACAAATATTGGCCTATGAATACAACAAATATATTAAGTACAACGACTGTACATTATATATGAGACTTTTTGATATTCATCTCATCAGGACTTCATTCAATCATTGATAGCTTAAAAAACATACCTATGAATGTTAAACTAGAATAACAAATTTTTCTATAAAATTTGTGCAGTGTAGAAAAGATAAAACAACACATGGAAATCAGGCTAGAATTTCGGTCTCGACGATTACCATAAATCACCACAGCCCCGTTATCCGGTAGGCTTACATGGATTAACTTTTTATTGCACTTTGCTAGCCAATCCATACCTACTACCACATCAAATTCACTCATAGGCATTGGGGTAGAAATCCAAAGGTACAGACTCCCATCTATCTCAATCATACAATCCTCAAACACTTCCTTAATGAATACCAAATCACCATTCGCCGTCTCTGCCTCTAGTGCAAAGTTTATCTTTTTGGTTTCAAACGCAAACATTTAATAAAGACAGGTGACACACAAGAACGACTAACTCCCGAATCAAATAACACATTGGCACAAAAAGAGTTTACCAAGAATGTACATGTCACAACATTAGAAGTCTCTTTAGCCTCGATAGTTGACATCTGAAAGGATCGCCCTTTCGAACGTGTAGGCTTATTCTTCTTCTCCCCTCTTTTGTCTCCTTGGCGAGACCCCGAGTAATTAGATCCCCCTTTCTTCATTTGCTGGCAATCGGGCCCAATGCAATCAGGTGATTCGTATTGATAACATTTTCTTATTACATTATTGTACTTTCAAAAAATTTAACTTTACATTTAATAAATATATTAAATTAATTAAACAAATCAAATATTAAGAAAACTTGTAGATCATAATTTATTTCATTAACATTTAAAAAATGTTTAAAAAATGTATTTTTTTTA